TCTTTGTAAAATTCGTACATCTAGGAGTGCTTTACATCCACCACACAAGATTTATTTGGTGACTGAAGCAAATCCATTCAAATAGAGTCCTCGGTGAGGACTTAAAATATTTTCATGCCATTCAGTTGTTTGTCTACATTCTGAAGAGTAAGCTGATAAACTTTATGCTTTTGAATGAACCTGTTTGCTATACAAAAATTCATTAATAAAAAGAATACCGGCTCAAACTGAAGTTTTTTTGTTTTTTGTTTTTGCTTTTGGGGTTTTTTTTGGGGGGCAATACATAGAGTAAAACTATCCCTAAAGGCCTTTCTAAATTCTAGGAGGGGGAAAAAGACTAATTACACAATAATTCCATCCAGGTAACATGCTGGTTTTAGCTAACTCTACCATGTAAAATACAATTTATGCAGGTATTTCAGATATTAGGCAATATTTATATACTGTTTATTAAGGAGTAGCCACTTTTCTAAGTTCTTTCAACGCAAAATTGGATTTAATTTTTGTATCAATCCTATAAGGTCAGTATTATTAGTATTATTTCCCTCTTTTTATAGTAAGAAAACTGAGGCACAGGAAGGTCACATAGCTAATAGGGAGCAGAGTAGGACCTGCAGCCAACTCTGATTGCAAATCTCAGCTCCAGGCCATTACACTAAACTGTAAAATGAGCAACTAAGCTAGAGTCAGAGTCCTGGACTCCAGTCCCTATTCTACCACTTAATAGGTGACAGGTAGAGGCTCACAGACAAATGACCTAACATCTCAGGTCTCAGCTCTCAAATTACACAACTAAGACCCAGCACCTGCTTTCCCTACTTTAAGTATCATAAGAAACTTATGGTTGTTTTGTTTTCAGAAAACCTTATTTGTCACCTGCAGGAACAAACTGGTAGATGTACAATGTGACTAGAAATTCCGCTCTACTTCGACCCTGTCCAGTGAATACTGTTGCTGGGGAAACACCACCTGCTCTACCAAGCACTTCCACTAATCACATTGTAACAAAGATCAGACAGCCTATGTTCAGAGAACAAATGGAAAATAACTGCCATCTTACTGTTCTCCCTCCAACTCTAAGTACACTTTTAATTGGTTAAGCTCTCAACTCAGCAGGTGCAAACTCAAACATACTCCAAGAGCCAGCCGGATGAAATGACTGGAGTCATTCACATGACACACGCTGGCGGGCAGCCCCTCGCCAGCTCCTTGTGTCTGTATTATACCACATGGGATGCATGGCCAGTACAGCCACAGATCTTCCAGTTTTTCCAAAAGAGCAGGAAATCCAGGTTGTTGCTTTTTGAGTTTTTTTTTTATTATTATTATTATTAGTATTATTATGAAATCCCCTTATTTTTAAATGCTGGCAATTAATTCCAATTAAAAAAAAAAAAAACACTATGTGGGCCAAACAAAATACATTTGCAAGCCAAATATAGTTCTTAGGGAGCCAGTTAACCTGTCACAAAATGTATTGGCATTAAAAATTTATTGTCTTGCTGCTGAAATAATCTTAAAATATAAACTGTTTTAAGACCGAGATTTCAATGCACAGAAGTTGACCAAAATGTGCCTGAATGTTTTCTTAACATTCTTTAGGGTCAGAATCTGAAGCTCTCCACTCCAAAATAATTCAAAGTTTTTTTCTTTATGACATTATTTAACCCCAGATATCAAAATCCTAAGCATCATCTTAGATTATGCTTCTCAAAACAACAACAACTAAAATAAACCCTTTAGCTCTGGCTTCAGACCATGGTCTACAACATCTTCTAAGCAGGTGAAGCATCTTCTATGTAAGAGTGGAATGGAGTATGAAAAACATAACAGCACCTAAAATAATTGATATTTGGCAAAGCTATTTCAGAAAGGGTCATTCTTGTTAAGAAATAAAATCCTACAGACCAGAGGCCTGTGAGCTTGATCACTGATCCCGGATAAGAAGATCAACAGTATTAAGAAAGGAATCCTAGAAGACCTCAGACCCATGCATGTCAGCCCATCCTTAGCCTTGACTTGATACGCTGTTGTATTGGGAAAAGCAAGGATCAGAAACAACAAAATGTATCTCTGTTTGAACAAAATCTTTTCTAATACGTGAAAGATGAGTATTAGCAAGGTAAAGAAATTCAAGCTGTGTAAACAGAGTGAAGAGGCTGCTTTGACCACATGATCAGCCTTACTCGGAGTGCTAATTCATAGGATGATGTCAACCTGAACAAAAGTGATATAGACAGATATCAAAGAGTTCTGCTTTTCTTGGTATTTTCATTAATGAGTTGGATGCAGATATACGAATCATATCTAACTTATCTGTGGAACAACGTATCTCGTGTTCTCAGAGCATAATGCATATGCTTACATTACTACATATAATATTATATGGCAATGATTTCTAAAACCATCTTTCTCACGATACTAGATACCACCCTGGACAATGTAGAGAAATGGGCAAAACAGCAAATATACAGGGTGTAATAGTAGGATTCTAATAAATAAATCCAATAAAATAAATTTAGCAGGGACGTCAGGGTCCAAAATGAAATGATAACATTGATAACAATAACACCTAGAAAATGAACAAATACAGATAGGAGGAGATATGATTTAGTAGCAACACATGGGAAAACCACAAAAAAATGGTTAATAAGCTGGGCCAATATTGTAAGATGGCCATAAAAATACCAAAAAGGACTACCTTTTTGTCTCCTCACTTTATCAGATGCATAATGTTGAAAATCCTGTCCTCCAGTGGTATTAAAATTGGAGGATTCATTTTTGTTTGAAAAATAAGTAGATAATCTAATATCAAATTATTAACATGAAACAAAAATTATGATTGTTGGTTTCATTACTGCCCAAGTCATCATAAATTCTTGCTCAATATAAATCTTACTCTAGGCAATCCCATCTCACCATAAGTGCCAGCTACTACCTATTTCATAGAAGTACCCACATGTGGGTACTTTGAACCATATACATAAAACAAGCAAAATTTTAAAACCCTTGAATTATCTGTCAATATTGCAAAATAGAATGTTTAAAAAAATCAAAATTAAGAAGCTCTGGAAATACTCATTCCACATCTCACAGTGCAACAATCAACTCCAGGTAAGAGCAGTCACTCCTTCCTAAGAACATGTGTTCTAGAGTTTTTCATAGTTCTCACCTTTCCTTATAGGTCCTCAAAACTGAGACAAGTTTCAGTTGCCATTTACCATCTAGATTATCACTGTTGTCTATCTCGCAGTAGTGTTAAAAAGAAAGTGACATATTTCTGATTGTCTCTGTATCAAAAGCATAAAGACAAATGGCAGGTCAGGCCTACTTCTGCCATTTATGTAACGTCCCCTGTCCCTGTAAGCATTTGAGTTTCTGATTCCAGCAATGCAGCTTGCGGAAAGAACTGAGTACAGCACTCACAGCTTTGACTATTTGTGAGTTGAAAAAGTTTCAAAACAGTCATCTGTAATTTTACTGAAGCTGGCCTTCAGGAAAGGATGAGTTGGCAAAGTCCTAAGTCTAGCCAGTGGCCCAATGTCTATATGTCAACACAGTTTGGTTGCTCTCCAGTCACCATTACATATTCAGTGCAGCTCATACAGTGTTTCTTTGTGAAAAGTAAATCCCTGACCCCCCCAAAAGAAAGCTAACTGCCAGTTCCAGTGGGGGCAAGGGGAGTGAAGTCCACATAAGGCAATGGTATGGGGTAGAACAATGTGAGATAGATAGAAGTAATACGTATCTATATGTACAACTTGTCACCTGCAAGTCTTGTCACCTTCAGATATATGTTCAACTTGTCACCTGCAAGTCTCATAGGTACCTTAAACTATGTCCAAAAATGATTCTTGATTCATAACTCTCCTAAATTTGTTCTTCCCCTAACCTACACCCTCTCAAAATATGGCTAATTTATTCAAGCAAAAAAAGAAGTAAAATGGTGACTTTGCTGTCGGTTAAAATCAGTGATGTAACTTATCCTACTATGAATTGTACACAGGAACATGAAAACATGACTCAAGAAATTTTCCTTCTTTTATTTGGCTGTATGAGGAAAACCAAATGCAAGCTCAGTATTTGTCATAAAGGTTCCAAGACATATCTTTCATGACTATTGACGGTCTACTTGTTACAAAATATTTACAACAGTTGCCAACTTAAAAAAATTGTCCCTACATAAAACTAATTACAAACTAACGTAGTTTTACACACTGTCAAATGGAAACATTATTTTAAAATATAGTCATGTGTGCTTAATGACAAGGATACAGTTCTGAGATTTGTGTTAGGCAATTTTGTTGTGCAAACATCATAGAGTGTACTTACACAAACCTACATGGTATAGTCTACTAGACACCTACGCTATATGGTATAATAGCCTATTGCTCCTAAGGCTATAAATCTGTGCAGCATGTTACTGTACTCAATACTGAAGGCAGCTGTAACAGAACGGAAGTATTTGGGTATCCAAACATAAAAAAGGTACAGTAAAAATACAGTATCATAATCTAATGAGACGACCATCATATATATGGTCTGTTATTGACCTAAACATCATTATATGGTACACGACTGTAAATGCTTTACTGCCACTCTCTCTCAGTAAGATCATGCGCTGGAATTTCTCAAGTGGGATAGCCATAAATTCCATGCATCCTAGATTTTTTAGGAGGAGCTCATTCTCAATAATTTTACAAAAGATAATCTCAAAAAGGCATGAGGTCATACTTAAGATAATGAAAGATTACCCTTCACAGAAGATATACAGTAGCAATTTTAAGCCTATTAACCTAGGATATTCTCACACTTGTATAACATAAGTCATCACTAAATCATTCATGAATGTCAACAAAGTGAAATAACAGTATGTTCCTCATATACAGTAGTTCGTTGAATATGCAGGAGGCAACATTTGTGTTCAGTAAAATGTAATATCACAACAAAATTCCTTTTAAAATCAGAAGGGAGGAAATGAGGACTACTTGATACTTAACTGTAGTAACCATCTATTTATTGAGTGGGCCTCCTGGCTTTGAACCACACTGGTCACTTCCATATGTCATTCACAGGGCAGAGACATGTCTGTCCAGGACGCCGCTGCAAATCTGATGTCTACCTAGTGCCTGTCAAAGAAAAGGCACTCAACAGTGACTTTAATGACTCACATCCCACTCTAACTCCTCTATAAAAGGAAAGAAAGATCAGACCCTGACCTTCAAAAATGTATACAGGACTATTCAAGACAACAACAGAAGAAGAAAAATGCCTTCAATTCAAAATAAAACGTATTGGCAATGGAAAGCATTTCAGTTTTAAGGCAAATAAAACTCAACAAAATATTTCTCAATGACCAGAAGCAACAAAATAGTTTGTCAGAATGCCCTGAAATGCTTTCCATGACAGTTTGATAAAACTTACATAACACAATTATTCTGCTTGGAAATTCTGTATTACTAAGAATAGAATACTGGCTTTAATCACCATATCAGATCAGTGAGATCAAGGTAACATTTATTAAATATTACATGTGGGCACTATGAGCTGGATATTATTATCCCCATTTCACAGATAAGGAAATACAAAACTTGCCCAAGTTCACATAACCAGTAGTAGTAAATGGGAAACGGGATCTGATCCAAGACGCTCTACCACATGGCATGCTTTATCACATGGCATGCTTTATGTGTGGGAAATTCAGGAAAGTAAAAAGAGTAACAGTCAACTGTAATTTCAACACACGAAACACAGTATCACCTAACATTCGGCCTATAGTCTTCCTGGCATTTTCCCACATAATATGTAGAACATTGTACACACACACACATATACATGCATGCACACACACACACTCCATAAGCAAAAACAAGGATCAACCTACCCATACTGTTTTACAATCTGCTTTTTCAGTTTACAAATATTGAGTATCTTTCCACATCTATAAATATTCCTCTACATCACTGTTAAAGAAAGGGTATTCTATCACATGTATGTACCACAGCTCATTTAATCAGTCCCCCTATTATTGAGCACTTAAGGTGTTTCTAGTTAATAACTATTATAAACAAACTTACAGTCTGGGCACGGTGGCTCACGCCTGTAATCTTAGCACTTTGGGAGGCCGAGGCAGGCGAATCATGAGGTCAGGAGATCAAGACCATCCTGGTTAACAAAGTGAAACCCCATCTCTACTAAAAATACAAAAAATTAGCCAGGCGTGGTGGCAGGTGCCTGCAGTCCCAGCTACTTGGGAGGCTGAGACAGGAGAATGGCGCGAACCCTGAACCCAGGAGGCGGAGCTTGCAGTGAGCCGAGATGGCACCACTGCACTCCTGCCTGTACGACAGAGCGAGACTCCGTCTAAAAAAAAAATTACAAAAATCATTTTTGCAAATTAGAGGAGGGTTTTTTTTTTTCATGTATATTTTTGTGGAGGTCACTAGAATCTGGAAGTGAGTTTCTTCCAAACTTCAGAGGACCTCCCTCCAGATTTTGGTACACCCTAGTAAGTAAGCTTCTTAAGAATCACTGCGAGGAGAAAGGTATTGACAGGAGTATGGTGCACACATGCACTATAACCACTGCTAAAGACTGGTCTCTGTATACATGCTTTATTGTTTCTCCTTCGTTCAGATTCCTAGCAGTGAACATGCCTGACTAAGGGATGGGGCACATTTTTGAGGCTTCTGATGAGTAATACAAAATTGCCCTCCTGTAAAATTATAACAATTGAAACACCCACCAACAGCATTTGAAAGTGACAATTTCCAAAACCCTCCAGTTGACCAGATTTGTTTTTAAACAATCATATCCCCATAGGGCCATAAATTTTTTTTTTTTTTTTTTTTTTTTTGAGACAGAGTCTTGCTCTGTCATCCAGGCTGGAGTGCAGTGGCGGGATCTCAGCTCACTGCAAGCTCCGCCTCCCGGGTTTACGCCATTCTCCTGCCTCAGCCTCCCAAGTAGTTGGGACTACAGGCGCCCGCCACCTCGCCCGGTTAGTTTTTTTGTATTTTTTTTTTTTTTTTTTAGTAGAGACGGGGTTTCACCGTGTTAGCCAGGACGGTCTCGATCTCCCGACCTCGTGATCCGCCCGTCTCGGCCTCCCAAAGTGCTAGGATTACAGGCTTGAGCCACTGTGCCCGGCCATAAATTTTTAAAATAGCTGAGCTATTGATAAAGCACATCTGGAAAAAAAAAAAAAACAGGGAAAAATTCAAACAATAAATGCTAGATTTAAAAGCATCTGTTTTCAAATACAAAATATAAAACTTAATGATACCAGATACCAGTAGGCTGAACTTAACAGAATGACTTCAGAAAATCCAGTGATAAGAGATTTTAAAAGGTACCAAGCTAAGATGTAAAACATCGCACCTTTGTTTGCCTGTCTGGCTTAAGAGTTTGGGTTTTAATAGCAACATGTTCTATTTTTCTAACAAGAAACTCATAAAATGGTATATTCTTTCAGATTGTGTAAGTACTGTCTTATAGCTAACATGGCAATCTGAAGTTCTTAAAATTCCTTTAGATAATCACTTATTCAACAAACATGTGAATGTCTACTATAGACTAGACACTGTTCTAATGCTAGGGACACGGTAGTAAATCTCACAAAAGTTCCTGCCCTTGAGGAGCTGCTGGTTCTAGAGAGGAGTTCAGAACCCTGCAGTTAAGAGTCCAAAAATCATGGTTATACTGCCAATCAGGACTCCTGGATTATTTGGCAAATTATAACAACACCTCTGGGTCTAGTTTCTTTATCTTAAGAAGCTGACCAGATGGATCTGAAGGGCCTTCCAATTTTCCATCAAGTTATCTACTTCACTTGATTCTTGTTTGAGTGTTTAATTTTCTATTATTCATGAGAGCTTTACATTTTAAGCTCTATATAGTTTTTCCACAAAATCAGATTCTCCCAAAAGAACAATTTTACATTTACAGTAAAATTGTGGTGATCCAGGCAACTTCAAGGAATAAGTGTAGGATGAAGTTCCAGTTAGAAGAAAATGTATGCTCCTAACTTTAACTGTTTCTATGGAGATGTTTCTGCAATGGTCTTGCCTCTTTCACCTTTGTACTGCACTATAAACACTAAGGCAAGAAGCATGGCATGACTGTGGGTCTCCAAGCCTGTTGCATGGAAACAGCTGGCATCCTGTCCCCACGCAGCAGGCGCCTTAGTGCTTACCGTGGCACTTGGGTGTCCTCAGGGGCTGCAGCCTAAAGTCCTGCTGGTGATTTGCACCTCTCTCCCACTCACCTTACCTCCAACTCAACAGGTACAACAATTCTGCCTGAAATCTACATCTCACTGCCCCATTAGCATTTCTGTCACCTCTTGTTATTTTCCACCAGATGTTCCTGCTACCACAATTCAACAGTCTTCAGATTCAGGGCGTCTTTGGAGAAGCCTACTTTGGGGAGAAGTTAGAAAAGGTATTGCAAGAGGCCTCAGTATTCCAAGGCAGTCTCTGGAAGAGCACCACACATACACTTTAGGTAGTGATATCACCGCCTTGTGGCCTCTAAGGATACTGCCGCTTAGTAATATAGATACATATTCCCCACTCTAGGCATATACAATGATTCCAATTCTTTCTCTGTATCTTCCTTATAAACCAGAAGAATGATTGGAAGCCAAGATTTTCACCTCTGTGCAAAAGTATAGAAAAAAATACACCTACCAGAAGTTTTTCCTCAACTTCCAACATGAAAGCGTAGAACAGTATCTCCCAAACACAAGCTTTGCTCACCTGAGCAGTAACAGCAGCAACATCCTATAAGAATGCATGTGTTGTCATTTTAGACAACGTAAGACAAATTTGCAATTTCCATTATTTCACAAAAGGAAAGGTAAAGGAATTGGTAAAAACACTTTAACTCAGGCATCTAAGCCTCTAAATTTACCCCAAATGGTAGGTGTTTCTACTCTTTTACTGAAGAACTTTTGCTATATCAGGACAAAAGGACATAGGCCTCTTTACTGAAGAGTAAGGATCTAAAGAGCCCTCCTTTACAGATAATTTACACAGAACTTAAGAGAAAGAGTTGGAAATAAAATTGTCATAAGTAGGAACAGCTTATTATGCTAAGGTATTAATCGCTTAAGATAGGAAACAAAAAAGTTGAAAACCATCATTCTGGAAGACCACAACACTTCTAATATGGAACAGGAGTCCAAAAGACACAGTCAAGAGAAAGATGTAGATTCTTATTAGACATCTATAACAACTGCTTGGCATAAAACTCATTTCCCAAGTTTTCAATTATTATTTAGAATGACAGATTAGAAGTTGCGAAAAGGAAATGCCACAAATTATTGATATTCCCCATAGGGCAGGCACACATTCCTCCTGTGAGAATAAAAGTACCTACATATATTTTATCTACTCATTAGTCTGTCATCTGGCCCAAAGAATTAAAACATTCAATACACACACACACACACACACACACACACACACACAAAAGGCATCTTTGAAATCTTACACTTATACAAATGGCTATTACACGGAAATAAAAGATAAAAATACTCATCTTTCTGAAAATCTCTCATAAATCACTATAATTTTACTGAAAAGGGTTTGTTTTTAAGGTTTTACACTTGAATTTCATGGAAGAGCAGTCAAGTGTAATCGACTTAAAGCAATACTCCGACTAAAGTGATAATTTGAAAGAAAAATGATAACAGTATAACCAATTGCCTATGTCAAAGGCCAGAGCCAAGCTGGAAAACTAAAAGACTCCCAAATCTAAGTATTTTGACCAAAAGCAGGTAAGATTATTTTGTAAATTCTCTAAGTATTCATTTACTCAGTAACTATTCATAGCCCACTATGTGATGAAGGTGGTTCCTGGTGCTGCAAATGCAATCGGTAACAAGCAGATGTGTTGCTAGCCCCCTGGAGCTTCCAGCCTATAGAGGAACTTCACCACTTACATCTTTCCCATTTCTGTAAACATTTCTTGACATATGCAACACATATGGGCATCAACCCCAGCCCACTCCTCTCCTGCCTGCAGCTCTCTCCTTTCCTTTCACCAACACCAGCCACAGAGGCGGTCCTCTGTCTCTCAAGTATGCAAGGCTCAGTCCTGCTCCAAGGCTTTTTGCACTTGCCCTTCCCTCTGCCTGAGCCACTCTTCTCTCAGATCTCCAAAATCATAGGCTTCTTCCCCTTCATTCAACTCTCAGCTCAGACTCCTCCAACCCAGAGAGGCTTCTCAGGTCACTTGAAGTAAAACAGCAGCCCACATCCTGTCCTCTTCTACCATGCAACACTGCTTTATTTCTTTCGCAGCACTTAGCACTATCTAGTCACTATCACTTATTGCATCTTTGCTTTTTATCCATCTCCTTCACTGAGATTATAGCAGGGTCTGTCTGTCCTGTGCAGTGCCATAATTTAGTCCCTGGAAAGTTGTCTGGAATATTAACAGATGCCCAATAAATACCTATTTAAGAACAAATATACACAAGGTTAGCAGTTTTGTATCACAAAAGGTACCAAATAAAAGGCAAGGGAATGCCTTAAATTCTAAGGGGTGTTTGCACCATTTAAACTATATATATATATAAACTATATATATATATAGTTTAAATGTTTTAAAAGATTATCATAGCTTACACTAGTCCTAAAAAATAGCCCTCAAAAATAAGCATAATGAAAATACTAAAGTTCAACATTGGCTAATGTTCAAGCTTTATAATGTATCAGGCTCAATTCCTAATATTAGCATTACTTTTATAATTTATTCTTTTTCAAAAGCATGCTGACAAGAGACCCCAATTTTTTCATTTTAAAGAAAAGCAAGAGCTAAATATTTTTTAAAAGCATCCATCCCCTTAAAAGTTGTTATTAATCCTATCATAAACTATAAAATTTGTAACCATATTATACTAACATTAAAATATAAGATACTGGTGATAATCTACAGAAGGCAGTGATTTGAGTGCCTAATGCCAACCAAATTTTATGAAACATAAACTACCCTCATCTTCAGTTTAATCAAAGGTACAAGCTGCCTCTCTATGTTCAAAAATATTTAAACACTTAAGAATTTTTCCTACAGATTATTCTTTAAAATGTGTATCTGTTCCTTCTTTTCTTTTGTTGAAACAAAGAGCCAAGTTGTTACCCAAGGAATAATGACTTTAGTTACTAATCATCATGGCTCCCACTTCATAGCAAAGATGCCAAAGACTCTTATGGATTACTGTGAAGTTATATAGAAGCAAACAATGCACGCTGGGGAGAAGGCACATTTATTTCCTGAAAGGTGATATAAAGAAACAAATGACTACTCCCTTTAGGCCTTTGGGAATAACCAATTCCACTTAAAAACCTCAAAAACTAATGCTTTACAATTTCATAGCAAATTATTAGAAACAACCTACGTATATCACAATAAAGAGGCTAAATAAATTATGGTCCATCCCTAATGGAGTACTCAGCAGCTGTTAGAGAATGAGGCAGGCTCTCTCAGATATCAATGGAGATTGCCATGATTTAGTACTCTGGGAAGGGAAGAGGGACAGGGGGAGCTGGTGCAGAGTATACAATGGGTCCTCATCTTTGGGAATACAAACAAAAAGAACACTTACAAAATGTTTACACATACGAAATGAGCATAAGCTATCTCTGGAAAGACATACACAAGGAGCCAGTAGCTGTGGAACATGATGAGAGAGAGGTATACTTTCTAGTCTGTATCTTTTATATCTATTGAATCTTCTCCTTTGTGAATAGATTACCTGCTGTACAATTAACATAAGAATAATGCATACTATTACCAACATATTTGTCAAAGATGATCATTCAGAAGCAAATTTTTCAAAAATCACAAAAGTTTTGCTCCTTCAACAGCAGAGTCCCTGATTCTCATTCCCCAGAAGAGAATTCAAGTCTCCAATAATCAGAGGCTTGCTAGTGATCTCACCTATTACAAAGCAAAGAAGTCTCAATTCAATTCTTGGAGAGGAAATAGCTGCTCAGACCAACTTGAGAACACATCATATATTTAAATTGAGCTTGCAACTGACTCCCTAATGAAGTTTCCAAATGAACAGTTGCACACGACTATAAGGCAGAAAGTCAACGTAAAAGACAAGTAAAAGAACGGTCTCATGTTTTTAAAAACACATTATACTTAGGCTTCCTTTTCTCTGCCAGGCTTAGACAAGAAACCCTCTGGTAATAGTGAAATGTAATTTCAGATCTGTGGCAAAATAATCATGTAAGGGGAAGGGCAAGTAGCATCTGCGCTGAAAAAACTCCTTGGTTTATCCACTTGTGAAAAGGAAAGGTTTGCTTTAAATTTAATTTCTATACCATTTCTGGACCCCTGCCTAAATGACACTATATCACATTAATCTTACTTCAAGCAAATAACTTTTTAAAATTAAAAACTAATCTGAAACTGAACACGAATCGGAAGGCAAACTTCAAACTGAAACTTTTCTGTTGAAAGAATGTATCTTTTAAAGACACATAAAAAGAAATGCAAAGAACCGATTTCCATATAAATGCCATTCAATAACAGTGCAGGTTTTAACAATATTTGACTGCACTAAACACATTCAAAAAGGAACACAAAGATACCCAACTGCAAATAAAAGACCTCATATGTTTTTGGTGGCGGAAGGGGTGGGGGGGCAAAATCACATTAATTCAGATAATCATGTAAATTCAGAACACGTGATGTGCAGTTTTGCGTTGCTCAGAACTCCTGAATCCAGCTTTGTGCTTTTACACAACATAACAGAAATGGCATCTTTCACAAAGCCTAACTTTGACCTCCAACACTTTAACTTTGGCTTTAACCAGTATACCACCTTCGGAAGTAAGCACATAAAAATACAGGTAAGTCAAATGCACTACGGATACAGAAAGGACGAGGAACAGGTTTAAAGTGGGTTGAAGCACAGGGACACGAAATCACCTGGCAGGTCAGCTCTCCAAAAGAAAAACATTTCAAGCTCCCTCCCATCCCCCAGGTAACCTCTGGCCTCACAACTCACTGCCGCGCGTGGGGCAGAAGTTCTGGGTGCTAGAGTCCGCGCCCCCCGGGACAAGAGGGTGACCCAAGGGCGCGCGGAGAGCCGCGGGACCTGGAGCGGCGCTCTCCGGGGTCACTCCCCTAGGACGCTCCGCAGAGCCGGGAGCGCTGCCCCACCCCGCCCGGGCCGCCCCTGGGGACCCCGCTCGGGGCTCCGCGGCTCTCCTGCCCCGCGCCGCGCCCACCCACCCCCGGCACTCACGGTACACTCCCGCGCCGCTATCTTGCCATCCCCGGCCGCCGGCTCTGTCGCCTCGGCCGCCGCCCTGGGGCTGCCCAGAGTCCACAGCCGCCCGGGGGCAGGAGCCGCCAAGGAGGGGGCCGGGCACAACCCGCCGCCGCCGTCTCGCCTCCCCAGTGCCAGCGAGAGGCTGCTCTAGGCGGCCACGGGCGAAGGGCGGCCCGCTGCGCTCTGCGAACCCCGCGGGCCGCCGCCGCCGCCTCCAGAGCCGCCCAGAGGCAACACTAACGGCCACCGCCACGGCCGAGTCGCTCCAGCCGGGACTGCGGCGCGCGGGGGCGGCGCCTGCACGCCGCCCGGCTGGGGGCGCAGCGGGCCCGGCCCCGCCCCTGACCCGCCCCTGCCCCCGGCCCCGGCCCCGCCCTAACCCGCGCGCCCCCGCCGATCCCCGACCGCGCGCCCGCGCGCCCGCGGGGCTGCTCCAGGCAGTCGGAGGAACGCGACCGCGCGACGGGCCCCGGACGCCGAGGGTGGTGCTTCCTCCGAGCCTCCGGTGGTGAGGCTGCTCACAGAAGGTCATGGAAGCGCAGGGGAGAGCGAGGCGGCTGAGCCCAGGCAAATCCTCGCGAAAGGCCCAGTGCGCGACGGCCCTGCGGGGAGAACCGCGACTCCCCGAATGCTGCCTCTGCAAACAGTGCCTTGAGGAGAGGAAAGCGCGGGACGGTGTTTTCGCCGCCTCTGTTACCACTGCACACACGAAAACCAGCTTCTGGGAGAGGGGGATGATTGTTGAGACTTTGCGAATTACCTAAACAGCCCAGGGCCGAGGCGCCGCCGCTGGCGTTACCGCCCTCCTGCTGGGTGCGGGACTCCCCTGCCCGAGAGGGCCCGCGGGCGCGCCGAGAATATCCTGGAGCCATCTAGTCTTGCCTCCGAGGCGGGGTGGGCTTATTTGTGCGGAGCAGAAACGGATCCCTTAATGGGGTGAGATTTTTCCTCCGTACATTGTTCTCATTTCCGCAGTTTCACTTGGCCTCGGTTTTCTTCCAGAGTAATGACCAAATGAAATTAGCTGGAGAGCGTTTGATGGCGCAGGATCACGGTCTGAAGATGTTTACGCTGTATGCCGGACGCGTTTGATGGTGTTCTCTTCGGCACAATTAATTTTGCAAAGTTAAGAAATGTGCCAGATAGAGCCCCTGGCACGCAGTCAGGACTACAGACACACCTTGAGTAGGAAACTGGCTTGTTTGTTTCATCTGTGATTTATGTGATGCACCAGCACCAAGGCCAACGTGCTTTTTAAAGACCTTTGGATGAAATTCCAAAGCAATTTATAAATTGGCAAAATGAAGCTTGTTTTGTAAAATAACTCTTCCCCGTTGATCATGTAATTAAGTGGGCAACAAAACACCTGAAAGTACGTTTATTGAAAAGTAGACTCCCAAAACAAAAATATGTATTTCACAGCTAGATACGGTCGCTATTAGTGTCCTAATCGCCAACTCCATCCATGTGTGTATTTTGAACACTAAAAACGCCTCCTGTTTACCCCTAAGACCTTGTTTGGATAACATTTTTCTATTATAGGTACTTGAAACTAACCTCATTTAAGATGTTTACCCTTTTACTTGAGTCCTTGATGGTTTGGGAAATTTATCCTTATTCATATTGCACAATCCTGTCACTGTCTTTTCCATTAGGCACAGTGCCTAAGGTCCACAATATTTTTGGAGGCCCACACAAAAAAAATTTCAAATCAGAAGGAAAAATATTTAGGTTTAAGAAAGTATTTTAATATAAATTAATATATTTGTTTTTGTACTAATACAATCTTAAATATATATATATATTTAGTAGTGTAGTGTCCCTCTTAACTTAGATATGTGAGTATCACTCAGATAAGTACCCTTAAGACAAATTCTTCCCAGAGACTGGGTCAGGAAAGGCTTTCTCCTGATGAAACTGTAGTTTCATAAATATATATATATATATATTTAATGGAGTAAGGGGCTCAACGAAGGCAAAAAAGCCTAGGGCCCAAGAAAAACATGATGTGGCCCTGTTGCCTGGGGTTGAAAAATCCCATTCCATAAGAAGAATTTAGTTTTAAGCATATTACATAAGGCCGGGCGCGGTGGCTCACGCCTGTAATCCCAGCACTTTGGGGGGCCGAGGCGGGAGGATCACTAGGTCAGAAGATCGAGACCATCCTGGCTACAAAGGTGAAACCCCGTCTCTACTGAAAATATAAAAAATTAGCCGGGTGTAGTGGCGGATGCCTGTAGTCCCAGCTACTCGGGAGGCTGAGGCGGGAGAATAGCATGAACCCAGGAGGCGGAGCTTGCAGTGAGCCGACAGCGTGCCACTGCACTCCAGCCTGGGCCACAGAGCGAGACTCCGTCTCAAAAAAAAAAAAAGAAAAAAGCATATTACATAAAATGCTCGTTTCTGTGGCCTTGCTGTAATAGATAGATGGAGATTTGGAGTAGTGATAATGGCTAACATCCACCTGGTACACCATGTGTCCATTACTTCTTAATCCTCATAGCACACCTGTGAAATCGGTACTATTCTCATACTTGGGGGGTGATGCAGGTTTTGTGGGGCCTGCAATTTATGCAATTTGGGTGGTCCTCTTAAAAGCAAATACTGTGTATTAGTCCATTCTCACACTGCTATAAAGAACTGCCCGAGACTGGGTAATTTATAAAGGAAAGAAGCTTAATTGACTCACAGTTCCACATGGCTAGGGAGACCTCAGGAAACTTAACAATCATGGTGGAAGGAGAAGCAAGTACCTTTTTCACAAGGAAGCAGGAAAGAATTGTGAGCGGAGGAACTTGCCAAACACAAAACCATCAGATCTCGTGAGAATTCACTTACTATCATGAGAACAACATAGGAAAACTGTCCCCATAATCCAATCACTTCTCTCCCCAACACGTGGGGATTACAATTCAAGATGAGGTTTGGGTAGGAACACAAAACCTGACTGTATCACACAGCATGTCCAGGTTGCCCCAGCACCACCCAGTAGAAGGGAAAATGACAGCGGGAAAGTCCAAGCGGAAAGAAACCTCAGTTTCAGCTAATTGTGGTGACAAGATATTGCTTTTGCAAATTGTACATAAACACATGACCAGGTGAATGTATCGCCAAGGCTCCTGCCAAGGCCTGAGATGGAGGCCTAGAGAAGACTCCCGAAAGTTTATGCTGTGTGAGCTTCACAGAAGACCTACCTTCCATGTATACCCATTTTATAGGTAAGAAATTTAGGAATTTGCCGCAGCTTCTAAGGAACACCACATTCCTTACACCACGCTGAGGTATAATTTGAAGAGTTGCAGTATACGCACTGTTTCATGAGAAAAAACAGAGTTTATATTTCTGTAACAAAGCAAGAGCTTTAAACATATGTTAGCAATATTTGACCAGGCCATAACCCAGCTTGGGGCACCTGACTGCTGTCTGTGCTGTCAAGAATAAATTTTTCTTATCTGTTGTATAAATATCTGAATTAATCTATATGGACTCCTGAAGGAATTTCATCTCAATTTGAAGTCTCATGGATTGACACTATTTTTACTTACTTTGTCATAGACCAGTCTATGTTGTAAATTCTAATTTTTGTAATGTTTACTTTTTGTAGTTTCATGAAGTGTTGCAAAATAAGTATCAGAACAAGAACGTATTTTGTTTGATGCTTACATTGCATAATACGAGCCTTATCTCCATAAGTGTTTGTTGAATAAATAAAACAATGAAATAGAGTAAGTCACAAAACTAGAAGTAAAAGTGTAAGTTTTGTCACAAGTTAAAATTGAATGGGACTGAAGTAGCAAAATGTTGAGCTGTAAGTACTTGCTGGATAAGCAGAACTGACTTCTTAATTAATTATTTTGTGCTAAACGTTTGTGATCCTCTTCCCAGCTACTGGCTCTTCTTTCTGTTTTTGTTTTGATAATTTATTTTCTTTCTTGCAAATCCTATTGCATTTGAAATGCATCATTATATAGTAATGTTCAAATGAAACAAAAATCATAGTCACACCTGTAATGAAAGTTCTGGAAATGAAACGCGTTGTTTTTTGAACGGATCAATTACTCACAGAAACAGCAACCTTGAGATGATGGGAGTTTTTTCATTAAATTACCTACATCTTGACCCTTAAACAGGCTTCTCTTTATGCGTGATCTAGTATATATAGTGTTTATCAGTCAGCAGGAGAAGATATGGCTATGTTCCTGGAATAAATTTTGGAAGCAAAAAAAAAAAAAATCTACAAATTAAGCATAGTTTATTAACCCGTGAATAATGAGTGAAACTGTTTTTCATTTTAAGGCTGACTGATAAATGTAGACTTAAATTGGTTTATTTTGGAGCACAGTGTTGGACAAGATTCAAAACTTTAATTATATCCCTGTAACATGAAGACATTTCAGAGTAATCAGTTATTTTTCTCTAGATTTTATGTTCTTTACCCAAAGTGGTTTGGAATGCTATTTGAGAGACATGAAAAATATGACAAAGACCATAAAAAATAGTATCTGCTCAAAATTCTGTTTAGAATATTCTCTTTTAGATGCAATGATTTCAGGGTGCTATGTCCAGTAATTTGATAAATTATGTCTCTAGCTTGGCCCCAACAGGATTGCATTTTGTCTTTTTTTTTTTTTTTTTCCTAGACTGAGTCTTGCCCTGTCGCCCAGGCTGGGGTGCAGTGGTGCAATCTTGGTTCACTGCAACCTCCGCCTCCCAGGTTCAAGCAATTATCTGCCTCAGCCTTCCGAGTTGCTGGGATTACAGGTGTCTGCCACCATGCCTGGCTAATTTTTTTTGTAATTTTAGTAGAGATGGGGTTTCACCATCTTGGCCAGGCTGGTCTTGAACTCCTGACCTGTAATCCACCCACCTTGGCCTCCCAAAGTGTTGGGATTACATGCAGGAGCCACCACGCCCGGCCTGCCTTTTGTTTTATTTATACCATGCCTTCTTCCAAAAGGGACTTAAGGTGGTTTATTTACAATGAAAGACAAATATTTTTTAAAAAAGACAAGTTGAAATTCTGGCTGAGACAAACAATACTATTTGAGCATAAAACTGAGCCCAAGCTTCCTCGTAGCAGTGAAATAGGGGAAATGAAGGTTTGCATAGCTCTCATTGTCAAGTGGAAGGAGTCCTACAGTTTCATCAGGAGAAAGCCTTTCCTGACCCAGTCTCTGGGAAGAATTTGTCTTAAGGGTACTTATCTGAGCGATACTCACATATCTAAGTTAAGAGGGACACTACACAACAATAATTTTGGTTATCTTTTGGTGGCATACAGAGCTAATTTTTTTTTTCTGGTGATTAACTTCAAAATTGCTATTGTTGAAAGTAAGTAGTGAGACTCTTACCGCAGTTGTTTTGTTTTCCCTAGCCTTTGAAGTCAAGCCAATGATGTAATATCAAGTCTTGGTTTTCCCAGTTCCCTTCTCTATAAAAAGGGGTTATTAAAAGTACCTACCTCATAGGGTTGTAGAGATGACAAAATGAGTTAATTCCTATCAAACCACTTATTGCTGTATCAAATTTACTGTAACCTTCCTCAGCCAAGGTATATATATCTATTTTTTCCTCCCCTCTTAGAAGTTGTCTTATTGTAGACCATCTGAAATCCCTTTTGGAAGGATGCATGCATATGTGCCTGACACAAAGTAAGCAATAAATATTTGCTGTGAATGTTATCATTATTATGATTTCTACTACCACTCCTAAATCTATCAAAGCAAATACAGGAGCCTACTTTGGGAGTGGGGTGATGGTTAGGCAGTTCTAGCCCCCAGTTGTCCTTACAGAGTAAAGCTTAGAGAATTATGAGGAGTAGATTGGTATCACTGAGATACCCATAAAGCAGTAGTTTTCTCTTTGGTTCCATTGTATTGTTTACCATCACCTCGTGTCCTCTATGACTTCACTTCACTGTTTAATTTGAAGAACATGAAGTAAGAACACTTTCCCCTGATAACCCCCTAACATTTGCTTAACCTCCTGGGTCTTGGAGACCTCTTACACTCTTGGGAGACTAAATGGCACAGCTGTTAAAGCCAACTCTCTGATCCAAAAGCCCAGTGTTGGGGATCCTGGGGGCACCACAAATGTGAAGAGAGCCAGTGACAGGAGGGAGGGAGACAGCCCTAGCAAACCCTCTCTTTCCAGAGTGAACCCTGCCCGTCCACTCTTCTCTGCCCCGTCTCCATGCGGTTGTCCCAATGAACTTCTATCTGATTGGAATCTTCGTTTCACATTCTTGCTCTTTCTATCCCTAAGGAATCTTCTTGTTTCCCTTCTTGCCTCTCCCATCTTCTCTTCCGCCTCCGTCTTCACCTATA